AGAGGTTAAGGCCTGACTTCTGCTCCCGGCCGACCCGGATTCAATCCGCCTGCCGGCTCCTCGGGTGTTTGAGGAGTGTTGAAATGGGAGGTGGCCCCCCATCATATGGGCGATGTAGGACGTGATAAAATCAACTTGCGAGCTGACCAGGAACTAAGTTGATGCGCCGTTGATCCGCTAGATTTGGTTGGATGCTGGTGGTGAGTTGCCGAACCCAACGAATACATTCTGAAGTCGGATGGGGTGACGGATTAGGGTGCCCCTCTAGCAGGGGAGAGCAGGGAACTGCCTCGGGAAAGGGGGCCGCTGGTGAAGCTTAACCACCCTGTAACAACATACATACATGCGTACATACATACCTTGAGTTCCTGGTCCTTGGACAGCAGCGCCTGCAGTGCGGGACTGACTGACTGCTGCTTGGCGGGGTTGGGCTTGATCTGGGTCAGCGGAACCTTGGCCTCGGTGAGGGCGGCCAGCATGGCATCTCGCTCTGAGGGCAGTAGCAGCAGTAGCGCCCGCCCCGAGGAGAGGTAGCGGGCTGTACGACCCACACGGTGTATGTACGTGGCGGCGTCCTCCGGACAGTCAGCCTGGCGAGCCAGCAAGGGGGGGAAGAGAGAGAGGGGGGAGGGACGGACACGCGCGTGTTTTTTTCCGTACAAACGAAAAAACCACCGACGTCTGGTAAGAAGAAACCATTGTCGAGGGTGTTGATATGAGTACAGCAACTTGTGAGATGTGAATTAGATTCACTGAATTGCATAATTATTACTGCTACTAGTGGCTTTCAGGCACACGGCGTGTCGTTGCTGAGTGACCACCCCGGAGGCCCCCAGCATACACACACAAACACACACACACAAACATACACACACACAAACACACAAACACACACACACACACCTGCACCTTTCCGCCCCCCTCTTTACACATCCCGCCCAGCCTTACCTGTACGACCCAGTCCACGGTGGGGAAGTCCAACCCCCGGGCGGCGATGTCCGTGGCGATGAGAACCATGGCCTGCGGGGGTTTGAGGACATCCGGGGGAAGATATGGCCCGAAGGGGGGGGGAGGGGGGCCATATAGGAAATGCAATGAGTCCCTAGTGATCAGCGCTAGGTGAGGCGGTGTAGAGGGGTAAGGGGTTGGCTCCGAACGGCACCCACCCTCTCCTCCTCCCCCCCCCCCACACACACACCCCGCTCCAGGCAACAATGGCGGTTTGAGGGGCGGTAGAAGTCCAGGTAGCTATTGGGGGGACATTGGTGTCCCAGCTGGTGACCAGGACCCAAATAGCTCTCGGCCTGTGGGAGATATGACAGGGATATGCATACGGCCATACACACACATACACACACACACAGACAGGCAGACAGAGGGACAGGAAAGAGACAGAGGGACAGAGACACACGCACATACACACGCACATACACACGCACATACACACGCACATACACACGCACACGCACCTGCGCGTTGCAGAACTCGTAAAACACGCCGGTGCGCTTGGGTTGCTTCATGCCCCCGTGGAGGCAGCGGAGGGGGACGCCGGGACGCAGCTTGCGGAACGCCTCGAACACGAACCGCACCTGGGAGTGTGTTTGCGTATGCATGCATGCATGTATGTATGTATGTATGTATGACTTAGATTACACTGTGGGCCGCGAGGGCCGGGGGCCGAAGCCGAAACACAGCGCAAGGGTCGGGAGCACACAGCACAAGTCGGTTAGTCTTGTGTGCTCCCCACCCGGACTCAGACTGCCAACACACAACGCAGCCACTCCGCAGCCACTCCATCCGGGGATGGCGGTACAGTGAAAACACCACGAAGGGCTCTCAGGTCACGCTAGAGCGAGTCCACAAGTCTCAGCTAGGGGCTGTATGTATGTATGTATGTATGTATGTATGTATGTATGTATGTATGTATGTATGTATGTATGTATGTATGTATGTATGTTTGCGTGTGTGTTTGCGTGTGTGTTTGCGTGTGTGTGTATGTAAGGCTGAAGAGTGACACACACAGACAGAAGCTGCGTCCGGTGGCGACACTAAAAGGGGAGTACGGGAACTGAAGAATCGGTTAGGAGTCGGTTAGATGCCCCCGTTCTGTTCCGTTCCGTTCCTCCCCTCCTCCCCCCTCCCCTCCTCCCCCCTCCCTCCTCCCCTCCCCCCTCACCTGTTTGCAAGTGGACAGAAACACGATGGTTTTGGCTTTCAGATGCGACTTGATGAAGGACCACAAGACGTCCATCTTTTGACCCAACTCCACCACCATGTAGGCCTAAAAGGTGGGGAAAAGAGGGGGGGAAGGGTTTCGAGCCCTTTCCATATACACACACACGTACACACATCCCGGCGTAGCTCAACTTTACCAAGTTGAGCATCGCGGCTATAGAATTGAACAGATCTGGAGTTCGAATCCCAGAGTCGGCACCTAGCTACATCAGAAGATGCGGGTTCGGGTCCCACCGCTGGTGAAGTCAAGAGTAGATCGGAGTGTCGAATGCTGATGAGGTGAAACACAGGGGGAGCTCTCACCAAACCCCAAAAGGAACAGTACACCGCCGCCGCCGCAGAGCAGTGGCGGAGGAATAACACCACCGCATTGGACATACATACATACATACATACATGGGCCAAACCGTATAACACATGGCGGTGGTTGGATAACAGTCCCGCGCGGCGGCAGCATTCCAAAGGGGACAAGGGAGGCGATTGGCACGGGCGGGAGTGCCCCCTGGTAAATCGCGCAGCTGCAGGGCAGGCGCTTTCGGTGGAACGGAGGGGTTGTTAGGCATCTGAGCTGGCTGGCGTATGTCTGGCTGGCTAGAGGATTCGAACAGGTGACGGCGCCTTACGATGATGAGGAGGGTGTCGGTTAGGACTTGGCACTGACTGATATAACGCCCCTCCAAAAAGACAAGTGTGCTTTGGCGGTTTCTCACCCACCGGGGGTGGGCGGGTAGCGTCCCCCCGGGGCCTTAGAGGGCCTGGGAGGTGGTGTGTAATAATCACATACATACACATACACACAGACATCAAATCCACAACCCCCCTATATTCAGCCACATGCCTGCGGCACCTCCACCTCCCTCCTCGTCCACCATCTCCCCAAGAACACACTACTTCACGTGGGGGTTTTGAACCCCATCCCACCCCGCGAACCACATTACAGCGGGATTTCCCCCCCGTTAAAAACCTGTCCCCTCCCCCACATACACACGCACCCACACTGCCAAAACACACTCCCTCCCTCCCTCCCATACTCCCCCTTACCTGCTGCAGCTTCACCGGCGTCGGTGCGGCCGCTTCCGCATGTACCGCAAGATACTCGGGCTGTGTGAGGCTTAGACGCGCCAGGTCGCGAACGGACTTTGTCTGCGTGGCGCTGAACGCAGTGGGGGAGGGGGGAAAGAGCATTATGCGGCGGGGGGGGGAAGTCATTTTTAAATGCGTTAAAAAACAGTCAAACTGCCCGGGCGACGGCTCCTCCCCTTTCCCTTCCCCCTCGCACCGCTAACTCTGAAAGGGAAAGGGGCGGCTTGCGGCTGCGGGAACCGGCGATCATCCCCATCTGGCCATGGGTATGCGGGAGAATAATAATAGAACTTTTCTGGGGGAAGGGCCTTTCTGCTGCTGTCGCTAATGCTGCTGTTGTCTACAGGGACACGCGAAACTTGCGGGTTACTTAAAAACAAGATTTACCACAACCATACGCAGTCTCCAGCTCCCCCAACACATACATACATACAAACATACATACATACATACATACACGCACCTGAACAGCATGGTTTGCCTCTCCCGGGGCAAGTTGGCCACGATGGCATCCATTGTGGCCGCGAAACCCATATCGAGAATTCGATCAGCCTCGTCCAATACAAGCAACTGTGAAAACACACACACACATGTACATACGCACATTCACACGCGTGCGATTTTGAAAGCACACGTGAATGGCAAGGGGGAGGGCGAGGGAGGTTTGTCTCACGGGCATCAAACCCCCGTCAGTCCCCCTTCCTCGCAAACGGCGGAGGGGAAAGGGGAGGGGAGATACGGAAAAGGAGGGGGGGGCGCACGGGACCTGTACGCGTCCTAAACACCGTTTGTCGAGGAATCCGAGGGAATCAAATACACAAGGCAAAACACACACACACACACCTTCAGCACGCGGGAGGGGACGGGAGGGAAAGACGAACCACGAACGAGACCACGGACGGGAGGGGCGAGGTAAGGGGAGAGTGAATAAACTTCCGCCGTGCGAGTGTGGGGTAAAACGACAAAACCCCAATACGCACAGGCTCACTTCCTCCTTCGTCCGCCGTACACTGTACGTCGTACGATGCATCATGTGCCGCACTCCGACGCGCCGGTGCTACCCTTCCCCGTCGTCTGTTCTCCCGCCCCGTCCTGCTCCTTCACTTTTCTCGTACCTGCAGAGATGACGTGTCGAAACCCGGCGTCTCGTCCATGTGCTGTAACAGGCGACCTGTACGGAAACAAGAAAGGACGAGCACCACCATCCGTCATTGTACGCAGCAGAAGCAGAAGCAACATGTACGGCGTCTTTACCAGACCCCTCCCCCCCTTCCCTCCCCTCCCCCCTTTCCCTCCCCTCCCCCCTCTCCCACTTCCCCTTCCCGTTCTCCCCTCCCCTCCCCTCCCCCCTCCTCTCCCCCCTCCCCTCCCCCTCCCTCTCCCCCTCCCCCCTCTCACCGGGGGTGCACACGAGGATGTTCATGGCCGACACTCTCAGCACCTCCTCCTGCACGTTCTTGCCGCCAATCAACAAACCCGCAGACAGGTCGTGGAAGTGGCCCACCTGGGGGTTAAGGGGGTCAAGGGGGAGGGATGAATCAGGCGATGATGGCGATGTTGATGACGCAGGAGGGGCAAAGCGGTCAGCTGGGGCCGGGCCCCACGTCCCGAGCACTGACTGCCGGAGTGGGACTGACTGCGCGAGGGGTGTGTGGCCCGGCGAAAGACGAACCGCGAACGAGTAAAGCTGCTGCCAAGGAAAGAGCAGAACTGACCAGTAGGCGGCTTTAGCGTGGAGGGGGGAGAGAAGGGGCCCCCCGAGGGGGGAAAGAGGTGGCGGTGAAACACGGAAGCCGCACAGCCCCTGATGCCGCTGCTGCTGCCGGCTGGTGGCGCTGTGCGGGCCTCCCTCCGCCCCCTCCCCCCCCCTTGTTCAACCGACCCAACACACCCAACAGCAGCTGCAACGGATAACCCCTTGGTGCCCCCCCGCCTCCCGCTACCGCTGCGCTAATAGTGCTTCGGGCATCGGTGGTCAGGGTGGAGATACTGGCACACAGGACACGACCCCCCCCCCGCGGGGCCTATATACTGGCCCCAAGTGGGTACGGCAGTGCCGTACCTTCTGCAGCTGCTCGAAAATCTGCACCGCCAGCTCTCGAGTGGGGGTCAGCACCAGAGCGCCGAGTCCGTCAAGCCTGGTCCACTTGAGCCGATACAGCTTCTCAACTAACTGGGTTGCGGTGGGGTGGGGGAGAGAGTGGAGGAGAGCGGCAAGGAGAAGGCGGGAATGCAGATTGGGATGGAGGACTAAAGGAAAGAGGGCATGCGTTTAAGAACGTGGCAGAACGTGGCAACCTGCACTATGCACGTTGTAAAGGTCCCCTCTCAGATTCTCAGGGCCCCTGTTCGAATGCGTAGGCGTTCCCAGTGATGCGACGTTAAAGGTAGGCGGGGCGCTCACCGGGATGAGGAAGGCTAACGTTTTACCCGAGCCCGTCTTGGCAGCACCAAGGATGTCGCGACCGCACAACGCATGCGGCAGCGCAGCGCGCTGAATCGCTGTAAGCGTGACGTATTTTGCTTTTTTCAGGCCGTCCTTTGTGTACTGTGACATAGGCAGGTCGTCGAATGTCCGTGCGCCGGCATAAGATGTCGATGCGCCGGCATCCTGCCGCTCAGGCGCCGCCAAGGGGTTAGAACCTCGCGGCGGCGCGCCATCCTTGATTTGTTGCTCCAACTGAGCAATCTCAAGGTCCTCCTTGTATGAACGCCGCCCCTGCCGCTTCTGCGTATGCGTTTGTTGTATTTTCTTTCTCTTCTTATTGTCTCCCGACATTTGTGAGAGAGTAATGAAGCTTCGGGACACAAATTTATTTATATTGTTCTACACTAACATTTCGTGCTCAAGTAAAGCTCTGTTCACTAACATTAACAGGAAAACCTCCAGCTAATTAATAAACAATATCTGCCAAATTTATATTATTTATAAACAATATCTACCGCAAGCTGAATGGCAATGTCACTTCTTACTAATGCGACAGTGTGCCGTACTGTAGTTGGCGACTGCGAATTTCCATGTAAAATCACTCTATGCTAGTGGCACACGTCACAAACATGGGGGTCCTGGTGAAGAAGCTGCCCGCGTACTAAAGGAAATAGAAGCGGAAGGTGCCGAAGTACGTCGGTGAATCATGATGTGGCGGGACTGGACAGAAGAGTGCAGCAGTCTAATGTGAGTGTTGTGGGAGTGTTACAAGCCGTTTGGCGCACGGGCGAATGTATGCGCACCCAAGTGATCGTGGGCGCGTCACATTGCAAGCTAAGCAACGCGTGTACAGTTCGTGTAGCATCCGTGTTCAGCACACTTGCTGGAACGAACATCAGCATAGGTTTAAAAGTGATCACGCTGGGAGGGATATGCAAGCAAACATCTTGATGGGTAAACCCGCACGCTACGGTGGTATGCACCGAGCACGCTACGAGCCGTCCTTGAAAGGAGCAGCATACCACTCCCAACGCCGGTGTCGGTATTGGCACAAAGCAGACCACGCAAAACGCTGGTGTCGGTATGGGCACCAGCCGCAGTTTACACAAGAGTATTTCACGGACATGTATGCAATGTGAAGTGTGTGGGTGCCTATGAACAGCCAGTGCTCTATGTCCAGAACGGTAGCGCGCAACGCGCCAGGACACCATCCGTCAAGTGCCAAGTCGCACGCTGGGCATCGTAAGTGTCGGTTGGGCGGTGTCTTGTAATGCGGCGGCAGGCGGTACCGGTGTAGCAGGTGGGGCTGGTGGAAGGAGGCCCGTGCAGCACATTGTAGCCATCCGGCCAAAGGCACTTGTACTGAGCAATGTAGAACGCCTCCATCTTGTCGGCAAGTCTTGGATTCGCGGTGGACATGAGGCATGTCAAGGTGAAGTGGTCCTGGAAGGGTTGGTAGAGGTGGATGTCATCCTTCATTCCTGTGGGTGGGGCACAGGCATGAGCATTGAAGCACCATTGAGGATTCTTGGATTGGCCGATGTACACCCTTCCGGTTGGTGTGCACGTGATGGTGTAGAGTCACGTGGGGGGGGCATACGAATCGGGCATGGTGGGGCTGGCAGCCGGACGTTTTGTTGGTGTTGTAGGAAGGAGGGTGCCCGACACTTGCGCTTGTGCTGCAGTGGTTAGCACCGAGTGTGTGAAGTCTTGGTCCGCGGCCAGGATGGTGCTGGCATCCATACCGTAGTCATATATTAGAGTGATGGCCGTGTCGGCGCGGAGGCTGCCGGCAGCCACGATCCACAGCTGCATAACGGCTGTGTGCATGGCCGTTGCCCTGTCCGGCATGTCCCCCTTGTGGATTTCCGTGGTGATGTTGTACAAGTACACTGCATCGGCATGGGGGACGACCCGTGACCTGGCACTTAACGGATGGTGTCTTGGCGCATTCCACGCTACCATTGTGGTCATAGAGCACTGGCTATTGTTAGGCACCCATGATGTGTAGCATCAGTCCTCAGTAACAGTAGTGTGGCGAAGCGGCACTTTTCTAAATGGAAAGGGGCCTGCTTTCGGTAGCACAACACATACAGCACCTTGTTCCGAGTTAAGTCAAATTACAAACTGGCGCTTTGGCTGGCACTTTGGCTGCTGGCGCTTTGGCTGTGCAGCGGCCCGCTTGCACTGCTGCGGCTGCTCCTGCTGCTGCTGCAGCGGTGCTTGCTGTGATGACTGCTGTATCACCGCAAGCATCTGCTGCATCTCAACCGCAGGTCTATGCTGATCAGCCCATTCCAACAAGATCTGCTGCACAGTGAAGTCACAGCGGCTGTCCATCCCATGCATGACAGCATGCACGTGACCAGCCTGCTGATGGTGTTTCTGACATGCACAGGCCAACCGTGCAACAAGCCGCAATGAGATGCTGGCAGTGTTGCCCTGTCCACACACCCGGCATCATATCCAACAGGCGGTAAGACACGGGGGTGCCAAAAAGGCCCATTTGCCGAATGAGGCAGACCTCCGTTGGCGCTGTGCTGGAGCCCCAATAGCAGACCTGCAGCCCAGCCGGGTCGAACACTGTGACTGCAATGTTGAGAGCATGGCCGAGAACTGCCAGCTCGACATCACCAGGCAGCAGCCGGTGCTGCTGTAGAGCTTCTCCATATTGCTCTGCCATGCAGGTGCTGGGGAGGCTGCTTGCATGGGCATGTAGCACTTGGAGGCACATCACATCCCAAGACTCCGCAATGGCTCCCACCACAGTCGCCAGCAAAATATCAAGCGTGGGCACATCAGTCGCACCCACGGCAATGAGAGCATGATGCACGCAGTCCACACATGTTGTGTGGGCATCGAGCAGCACGACAGCACAGCGGCTAATGTCTGCTGCATGCATATAGTGGCACCGGCAGTTGGCCTGCATAGCAGCACATAAGCAGCGGTGCCCTATTACCAAGATGATGAGTGTTGACTTGGATTGAGGTGTCGGCAGTGTCTTAAGATCAGCCCACATTGGCAGGCGCTTACAGTGCCGCAGAAAGGGGCCACATGTTCTGCACGATCACGGTTTGGTTGTGAATCGTTCAGCAAGGATGTCGTGTCGGCTGTACCATCGCTGCACACCCAGCCTTGAAGTGGATGCGCCACATGGATGGCTGCGGCACCATGCGGACCTGTCGGAGGAGGTCATATGCAGCAGACGCTTAAGTGGATGTTGTAGCTGTATGTGGGCACGGTTGGCAGTTGTAATGCACATCATCAGCGCACCTTCCGCAGTCACCAGGATAGGAAATGGTGTCATGCAAGATGACATAGTCACGGAATAAAGGCAGACCGATGTGGGCTCGTACTACATGACAGGTCCTCCACCACTACCGCGGCCATAACTATACCTATGCCACCCTTTGGTTAACACCTTACCACATAAACGTAGACCGACACCCATCGCCCAGAAGTGCGCCGCGTCTTCATCTGCTGGCGCACATGCATGCTTAGTTGATTATTGTGATGCGACCCCCCGTTCATTTCGTGCTCGGCAAGCCTGCCACCGCGTACCGGATATGTTGGCGATGTTACAGAGACACTGCACCTTGCTTTCCGTGCGCACTGCGTACGATGGTCGACCCCGCCGACCAAAACTGCACGTGCTCAACTGAAGAAATTCCCGGTGGTTGTGCAGCAGCTCTTGAGCCTGCTGCTGGCTGAAGTCCATCCGGAGCTGCTGCAACACGGCTAACGCAGGCACGGCCGTATGCACAGCAAAAAGCTGTTCCAAGCCATCAGCGGCGTCCACGTCACCCACACGGCTCTGAACGACTTTCTGTTTTTATGTTTGATTTTGTGTATGTTATATTTTTTAGCGTCAGTTTGTAATGTGACATGCTGTATGCTGCATGCTGTGCCGCCTTTGCTTTCACAAAAGTGCCGCTTCGCCAAACGCTTCCTCCTCCCGCGGCCGTTTATTGAGCCCAGTCTTGCAAGCTACGTTGTTTGCTTTCGGTGCTTTCAGTTCCGGCAAAGCAGCCACCCAAATTTCCGGCCTACATACCGCGTGCGTCTGTGGCCAACATGCAGTCCTGCGCAACGCGCTGGCACACCGCGGCCTTTCGCCAAAAAAATGAGATACACTTATACACGCGCATTTTGAGAATCGCACGCGCGCCTTCGCGCGGTAAAATTCGCTCCTGGCTTTTGGGGCGTCTTGTACGGCCCGTTTATTCGGCACAGTACGACCGGACACGATTGTGCGAGGGGCTGCTTAATAAACACCGGTGTTGTAACAAAGCTTGGCAGTTGGCGAAGCAGTTACGAAGAGAATTGTCCAACGATAAAAGGTGGTATTGATAAATACCGTTTGGTAGTGAAGGATTATGAATAGTTCTTGGATGTACCGTTGGTACGATGACCGTTGGCCCGGTGAGCCAAGGGGCGCCTTAGCGGCGTTACATTCCCCCACTCTTGAATGTGAACCCGTCCTCGGGGCGCCTTGAGTGAGGTGGATACTTTGGGTAGAGGTACGCCTTTTACGTACAATTTCCCGCGGATTGCCTTTGGGCATCCTTGATTGCAGTCCTTTGCAGACTCCAAGGAGTCGTACTCAGGGCCCAGTTTGTGCCACCTGATGAGGTACTCTTGTTTGTGCGGGGGCATCATTAATGCCTAGGAAGTTAAGCCGCGCTGTTTGCACCTTGCCTGCCTCGTGGTGCAATTGTGCACCTTGGGCAAAGTTAAAACTAATGTGTCGAATGCAAACCAGTTATTGCCATTGGCGTCCGTGGCACATTCCTGCTGCAGCTGCGGTGGCATACCGTATACAAGCCAAGTGCACAAGTCAATTTGAGACATGTTGGGGTCACCACACGTGAGGTCGTGGAACTGTTGCACATAATTCGGTATGGACTCGCCGGGTTTCATTGTGTGTGCGCTGGCCATTAGTTGCGTTCGTATGTGGTGAGGGGTGCAACGGTGCACATCACCGAAAAGCAACACAAAGTCGTCACGCATGCTCTGAATTGTGAGTGTGGAGCCTTTGCGTGTGTATAGTCCATGGTACCACTCTGCAGCTTTGCCCGTAATGTAATATCGCATGCCCATTATGGGATTGCTGCCCGATTGTGTCATATAGTCAACGGTAGTATCAAACCAGATTTCAGGTTTTGTTACCGAGGGCACTCCTGTGAAGCAAGGAGGCTGCCTAAAGTTCTTAAGACTTTGGTGGTTAGCATTTTGCTGGTGTGGCTGCTGATTTAGCACACTAATGGATTGTACATCCATGTAACCCACTATCCCACTTACATGGCCAGCTTGGGCAGCTGCTGGCTTGCACAAGGCCGGCAGTGTGCAGTTGGCAGCCGGCACAGCAGGGGCGACGATTGGTGGTGGCACCGGTTGTGGTGCCTGGTCGCTGGCCTGCACCGGTGGCACTGGTGCAGTGATCACCGGCGGTTCTGCAGCCGTTGGCTGCACGTTGGGGCCTTCTGCTGCTGGTATGATGGGCTCGGGTGGAGGGGGAGGAGGAGGAGGTGGTGCAGCGGCTTGTGCCTGGATGTGCACCTCTATGCCCTCTATTCTTCTCGACATTTGATCAAGTTTGTCCAGCAGCAGCTTATTAAAGTCTTCGTCGCGTGGGGCTGCACCTGTTGGGTGTACCGCGTGGTCCATAGCATCAGTTTGCACAATAATTCGTGCAACATTTTGTTGTGGGGACCTAAGCACCAATCGACATGGTGGCATTGCGCCAATTGGGCGGTGTGGGTGGGAAAGTGGTGGCAACCCTCCCTCAGGTGGCACGAGGTTAGCCGCAGTGGTGTCGTTACGCTCACACTCTTCACGCAACTCACCCTGCCATGTGCCGTGTTGCGGCTGGAGTGCGGTGGAGGGCAAAGTCACCCTGGTTGGCTCCACGGTGGCAGCTGTTGGCTGCATAGTATGTGGGCGCGATGGTCCTGGACCTGTTGGGTCGTGTGCTCCATTGTTGTCAGCATCATGCGCCACAGTGGCTAAGTGTTCCCACAGTTCGCAGCTTTGCTGCACATAAGAGAGTTCCTCATTAGCTTCCATTATGAAGCCTAGTGCGGAGTGATAGTCTTGCTCATTGCAGCATTGTCTGACTTTGTCAAACATGTGTGACTGTGGTGTGATGCCCCTACATTGGGCACGCCTCATGTACTTCTTGTACATTTCCTGGACCTTATGTACCAGTTTCTTTGCTTGAGAAGGGCTCACCTGGCGCAGCTGATAGCACTCATGGTCGGCCTCCGCCGACTGGGTGCACATGGTGTTCCGTGGGCTCGCCATGTGAGTTAGATAGAAGATCTTTCTAAAGTTGAAATGAGTTTGTGGAAGCGATGGAGTGCTTGGGGGGGCCCATGGGCGGTAAATCGTTTTTAGGGCGGTTACATGGTGGACCATCATCATCCACCCTCGTCCACTTGAGCACGAAGCGCCTTAGAGCAACATGCCGGGTCTCCCAGACATCCGAGAGGAACCTGGCTAGTGCCAGGGGTGGGGCCTTGGTCATAATCGTGCGCATGTTGCACCCTTGAAATGTGAGGTCATGTTCATACTTAGCCCATGTACTAGTGTGCACCGGGTATTCCACAAAGACATGCATTTCGTCTTCAACCGCCCCGCAGTCACAAAGCCTGCAGGTGTATGCTTGCACTCATGGCCATTAGGTCGGTTAACTCCCAACAGCCTAACCGTAATGCAAACATTGGGGCATGGCGATTTCAGGTGGTCACTATGGATTTCAGCACAAACAATCAACCCTGCCCGCTCCCCCACGCCTGTTGTGAGCAAGCAATGGAGAATCAGGTGAGAGACCAAGCTTTCTATTAGGGCCTGGTGCCATAATAAGGAGGGTAGGGTCTGTACAGGGTTTCCGGGTTTCCTCAGTCTTCTTGAACCTTCACCCCAAGAGCCAGTCTTCTTGTGTGTTTCAGGCTCAGTGCTCAAACTCGCGTGACGGAGCCTTGACCCCCGGGGGAGGAGTGCGGAACTAGCGGACCTGTGGCTCTAGGCTGCTTAGGAGGGGACAGAGGCCCCTTACACCCCTCTCCTGTCTGTCCCTCTCCTGTCTGCGGGAGGAGCTTAGGTGGTCTTTCCGTTGGGGCTGGGCAGCAGTCCCTGGCCAGTGTCAGGCACGGTCAAATACTTGCAACACACACACACACACACACACATGCACACACACACACATGCACATGCCCACGCCCACGCGCGCGCGCACGAGCTCACGATATTGAATTGAATTGTTACAGAGTGGGAGGCTTTTGGGCCATTTGAACATATTGTCACACAAGCTCGCGATATGCCATCTGAGCTGATTCCCGTGCCTCGAATGCCCTGGTAAAAACCTTCTTGCGGACGTAACCCAGCTCAGACAATGCACGGCTAATATCAGGGCCGCTCCAATGAGTGCCCAGTAAGTTTGTCATAGCGGTGGCCAGATCAGAGAGCAAGACTTGGTCGTCGGCCTGCACCAGCTCCACCAGCGTCTGTGCAGCGATCTCATCAAACTTGCGTTGTTTTGCGTGTTCCTGTTTGTCCTCTAAGCGGCAATTCGCCATTCGCCACGTAGGACTGTATGATAGCATGCACAGTCCTCTCGCAAGGTCTGTGCCCGAAAGCTTCAGCTATTTGCGCTTGCGTGTAATTCTCGTCGAAATAGAGGTGGCAAACACGTTCGCGCACTTGTTTGCTGTAGTAGTAGCGGTTCAATACTTCTCCCAGTGTGAGATCCGCTCTACAAACTGAGTATGCACACGTACGTATTCGCGTATATAGAATATCATAATAGAAATTTTGCGTGTTCCTTGCGACTTGCGAGTTGCGACTTGCAACTTGCGACTTCAGAAGTACGCAAGTGTAACGACGCTAGGTCCCTATAGGGTACCGCGTCGTATACTAACTCACTCAAGGAGTTAGGAGTCCACAATTTGGTGGTATTGAAGATTACCGTTTTTAGGTAAAGATCAGTATTTTAACTGAGTTGGACGCTAGTGCCATAAGGCCCTATCGTACAAGGAACGCCTTTGGCGTTAGTTAGAGAATACTTGATTCGGACGAGCGGCCAATGGGCCTAACGTTCTTACAGCAAGAGTGCACTTCGCCTCGCATCCCGCAATTTGTTATGCAAGCAGCCATAAAAAATGCTCATGCTCATCATTGCTATCAAGTCCTCGAAGTCTTTCAAGGTCCTGGCCCATCACCATCACTAATCTCGCCATGCTGCCAAAATTGAGCAAACGCGCCCCCGCGCGCGGGCTCCAAACCCTACCTGAGGAGTCGCCCGTCTGCGACTTCTGCAACTTCAACAACTATGATTGCGATAGAGAGCTTTATTTGATCGACCAGGATAAACAAAGAAGGCGAAGAAGGCGAAGAAGGCGAATGTCGGCATCCAGCAGCAGCTCTTCCGACGCTGGCAGCGACGACCTGGACGCCGAGATTCGACGCTTGCAAGATGCACATCGACGCTTGCAAGATGCACTTAGACACAATAGCGAATTCAGCAGTATTCTCCTTTGGTCTACTGCATTTTTCGCGACGCTGTTCGCGGTGGTCACCATGGCGCTGTTTATGGTCTTGATAGCTTACTGGAATAAGCATTAGACGGTGAGCTGCTGAGAGGGTCTGACCTGCCGAAATTGCCCTTCCTGCCTCCCTCGCGGCCCCGCAGGCAGCATGGCCTGCCATGGCCACCTGCCAGCTTCCCACCTGCTCCCGCCTGGGTGTGGCATTCATGGAGATGTGAGGGGCCTGTGGTGGCCTGTGCAGCATATGGGCAGCCTGTCACACCCTGATGTGTAACCAGACATGGCGTGTGCAGGGTGTCCCAGGAGTCAGGTTTTGCTAGGGTTTGTGGCACGTCACCGTGCCTGTTACATGTTTAGCGACAGCCAACTCCTGAGCAACTGGCCATGCCGGCTCTGCGTGTGTGAAGGCTGGCGCTGTGTGACTGGAATGGCAACTTGTCAGGATGTTAGCGTGCCTGCAAGTGGGTGCTGCTATGTGTGCCGGTTACTTTGCACAGGGTTGTGTGTGAATGAGGCCCAAATTGTGATTGGGTTGGTTGATGGGGTGTTCCTGGTGCACCAAAAGTTGGAAGCAAGGCTTAATCTTTGCCCAAACTGTGATATGTCTTTCTATTGAGCAACTTGCCATTCAGTTCCCCCAGCGCCCACAGAACACCCAAACCTCCCAGCTGTGCAGTGCAATGGCTCGCCCCAAAATGGCGCCTGCTGAACGTGCTGTGATGAGGCAGATGAGTAGAAGATGCCACCAGGGTTACAGTGCAAGCTTCTGCCACCGTGTGCTGCCGGCAGCTTGGGGACAGGCATGATGCCTGCCACACGGCCCAGACAGTACATGGCCAAGGAGCATCAGCAGAACACCAGACCCTGCAGCCTAATGGGCAGCCTGGGCTTGCACCCTTCCCAACACGGGCGAAACCAGTGTAGACTAGCAGGTCCCTCACTGTGCCTGGACTATCTAGGCATGGGTGCTGCCTGGCATGGCGGCAGCCTGGACAACCCCAGCCAAGTAAGGCTTCCTGTCACAGTATATCATGGGCACATGTGATCCATGGGCAGCAGCAGGCAGTTGGGATGGAGCGGGCGGTTGGGGCAGCATGGGCAGTTGGGCCAGGGGTGTGAACCGGGTTGTGAGTGGGCACACATGAGTGGGAACAGTTGGGCTCGTGCTACTGGGGGCTGGGGGCAGCCGGTGGTTGGGTTCTTGTTGGGGCCCCCTTGCGTGCGGGTTCGGGTCAGGTTGTGCCGGTTGAACTACTGCCGGGTCAGCAGTTTGGCTGCCCCCCTTCGCTAGGTTGTTTATCATGCTGTGTTGTTTATCCTAGGTGTTGAGGCCCATGACGAGCCACTGTTCACCTGGCATCGAGCTGGCAAATCCCAGGTCGGCTGCTGACAGCTCAGTAAGATCGCCAGGAACATGTAGCATAGCATCCTTCCATGCCTTCCACGCCTGGCAGGAAAAAACTAGGATGCACCACGCTAAGGCAGGTCATGCATCAGAATGCCGCCTGCCGCATGGCCCTGTGAGACTCTGAAATCCAGGCCGACACAGAGGCCTCCAGTAGCCTCGTACAGTGTTACACCCTGCCTCAATGCCGCAGTGAAGAACTCAGCGCCTTGCCTGGCCGCTGTGGTGTGTGTGCTGCTCGCACCTGCGGGCATTGCCTGTTATCTTCGGAGCTCACACTTATGCGCGGCTCTCCACTCAAGTGTATGCACTCGCAAGAGCTGGCATGTGTGCCTTGAGTCAGCAGGATCTGAGTCAGGGGGCGGGTCTGACACCTCATATCACCACCTGTTGTTGCATTACACCGCCTCCTTGGCAGTAGGCATATGATCCTTGCTGAAGGGGGCTGCAGATCTAGCAGCATGAATGCTGGCTCGCCTGGCCTGACATTGCTGAGTGCTGAGTGCTAGGCGTGACACGAGTGCAACAATGTCAGTCAACCCCCTCCCGTGCAGGATCCTCATCAAGGCGGGCACCTGGACCATCAAACATGCTTGGGTGCGGGTTGTGAGACAGAGTGTCCGCATTCTGGTGTGTGACCCCTGGCCTGTGCTCGACTGTAAAGTGTGCTCCTATAGCACCAACACGAAAGGAGCATACTGCCCTGTGAGCCCTTCGGTGCTCATCAAGTACAGCAGCGGTTGGTGGTCAGTCACCAGGCCAGCATCTCTCCCTTGTAACTCGAATAGTTTGCCTCATGCTTGTTCAACGATCACGAGATGCATGCACACATGTACTCATTGCCATTGTCATCGATTTTCCCCAACACGGCAGTGATGCCACGGTTTGAGAAGTCCGTGTGCAGGATCAGCTGCTTGCTGTAGTCTATGGGGCACAACACCAGTCCCTCCCGAGCAAAGACTGCCTTGATTGTGTCATGCGCCGCCTGCTGCTTAGGGCCCCACTCCCAAGGAGTGCCCTGCTTCAGCAGCTTGTTCAGGTCGTGCACGATCAGGCTCATGTTTGGGATGTAACACCGGTAGTAGTTGATGAAGCTTAGCTGTGTGCGCAGCTCAGACACGTTCTTGGGTGGAGGCAGCACCATGATTGCCTCCACCTTTGCCAGGCTAGGGCTAATGCTGTGTTCTGACAGGTTGTGACCCAGATACTCAATCACATCAGCACCAAAGATCGACTTGTCGGGGTGGGCATGCAGTCCGCACCGCGCCAGACAGTCTAACACAGCAGCCATATGCTGCATATGCTCCTCGGGTGAGTCAAACCGTATTACTATGTCATCAATGAAACCCACAGTGCAGTGGTCCAGCCCTGCACGAGTTAGTTCAAAGTCCACGCACCTTTGGAATGCAGCCGACGGGTTTTTCAGTCCATATGGCATGCGGGGTACATCATCAGGCCGTTACGGCACCAGAAAGCCGTTTTGGGCTGATCAGCTGGTTCCAGCTGATCAGCTGGTTCCAGCGGCACCTGTAAGAAACCTTGGTGGCAGTCCAGGTGTGAGAACACCTTGGCGCCTTTGACGCATTGAAATATGTCTTCGGGCCTGTGCAGGCCATACTTGTCATGCCTGGTGTGCAAGTTCACGTTGCGATAGTCTTGCGCCATGTGCACACCCATCCACAAACCCATGTCTGGATCCTTCTTGGACGGTGGGGCCGGTGTACTCAACGACTATGCCCGCGTCCACCAACTCCTGTGTCTTTTCTTTGATGATTTTCCCCTCACACGGGCTGTAGCGCCGCGGGGTTGAACGACTGGCTTCTCAGTGTCCAACTCAATGTGAAACGGGCCGGCCTCTCCTCGGTAACCCGAACCCAATCCCTAATCTTTGCACCCCTCTGGTCCTCAATTCACTTCTTGTAACGAACATCAGCATAGGTCCAAGCCCTCTCGCTTGGAGGGATATGCAAACAAACATCACGATAGGTAAACTCGCACGCTACCGAGCATTCAACCGAGCACGCTACGAGCAGTCCTTGTAAGGAGCAGCATACCACTCACGGCCGTATGCCCAGTAAAAAGCTGTTCCAAGCCATCAGCGGCGTCCATGTCACCGACACGGTTCTTAACGCCTGCTCCGTTTTTATGTTAAATTATGTTTGTGTATGTTATATTTTGCGCAAGTTTGTAATTTGACTTTACCCGAACAAGGTGCTGTATGCCAGGGAACGAGCCGAAACTTGACCAGGTCTGCGGAATCTTTTCGTATTCGGGAGCCCCTTTGCGGAAAGGCTGCGGAAACTGCGGAAAGCTGCGAAAACTATAAAATGAATATGTAACGATGTTTTTTAGCTCTTCTCAGTGTGGTGATGACATGGACAGTCTGAAACCAGCTTGTGGCAGTGCGGTTCTGTCCGGTGGGATCTAGAATCTGGTGAATTCCAATCATGCTCGAAGGTAGAGCCATCTAAACGTATTACTGGGGGTGGCGGGGGCCAAGCGATCAACTATTGTGTACCCACACCCTTGACGGTGTTCACCCTGCCCCCTTCAGGAACGTTTCCAGTAGCGACGGCAGCCCTTGCAGGTTGCGTAGCAGTTCTTGCTCTTGTCGTAAGGACCTCTATCAAAATGTTTCCAAACGTCGTCAACGGGCCTTCCACCCTTCTTCTGAGCAGAAACACAGTCAATCTCTATATGACTTCGGCAGCCCCCAGGTCGGGGCCAGTGGTTGCTGACGTTTGACTTAATCTAATAACTCCATAGTGTAAAACGCAGTCTTTAAATAGCAAATGCATGCCTGGAAGGAGCACGCCCTGGAATTTGTTTTTGACTTTCCGCCGTACAGCAAACGCGGAAATGCGGATTCTCTTTCCGCACTTCCGCCAATCTGGGCTTCGCTGCGGAAAGGGTGACGAAACCTATTTCCGCAGGTTTCCGTTTCCGCAGGTTTCCGTATCGGCTCGTTCCCTGCTGTATGCGTTGCGCTACCAAAAGCGCGCCCGTTTGCTTGCACAAAACTGCCGCTTCGCCAAACTCTCCGTCTTCCCGCGGCCATTTCATGAGCCCAGTCCTGCAAGCTACGTTGCTTGCTTTCGGTGCTTTCACTTACGGCAAAGCAGCCACCCAAAAGTCCGGCCTGCATGCCGCGTGCGGCTGTGGCCAACATGCCCTACTGCGCAACGCGCTGGCACACCGCGGCCTTTCTACAAAAAAATTACATACACTTGTACACGCGCATTTTGAGAATCGCACGCGCGCATCCGCGCGTTAAAATTCGGTCCTGGCTTTTGGGGCGCCTTGTACGGACCGTTTGTTCGGCACAGTACGACCGGACACGATTGTGCGAGGGGCTGCTTAAATATGATAATTGGATTCCAATTTCGACATTTACACTTCTTCACCTAAACGGCTACCACGGCCTGGGCCCTTGCCCATTCCACCACAAAGTCCTCATTGCTCGGTGGGAGGTCAAGGAATCTTGAGCTTCGGGCTGCAGCCCCCTCCCTCTACCCCCCCACACACAAGGAAGGAGAGTCACAGCTACTACTAGTACTTTCCCCCCGACGGCTTCTTGGGCGGCTTCTTGATCCCCAGCATCGCCTCCACCTTGCGGTCCCCCAGCAGCGGAGTCAGGTTGCCCACTCCGCCGCTGCGCTGAGGCACACCCGCCATGGGGTGAGCCGGGCCGCCAGGGGGGGGTGGGGGGAGCATCCCGCCGCCGCCGCCGCCACTACCGCCGGCACCAGCAACCTTGGCGGCATGCTTGCGACGACGTTCCCCGCCGTCTCCCTCGTCATCGCTGCACCCAACCCCAACCCCAACCCACCGGCGACACACGAAATCACCGAGCACAAGCCCCCGGCCAGAAGGGCAAGTACGGCAAAGAGGCGAGGGAAGGGACGGGGTGGGGAAGGCCCAGGGCACATACGCAGGCAAGGTTAGCTGACCAGTAAGGCGCCGCTACTGCCAGAAGGGTACGGGAGGGCAAGGAAGTCGTCATGAAGGCCGTAGCTGCCATAGCCACCATAGCCATGACGACGACGACGACTATCACCACCATCACCATCACCACCACCATCACGGTACAGGCTAGTACTTGAGCTAATATATTGTTTTAAGGCCACGTTATATGTACCTCGCAAGCTAGCCTACGAGATAGCGATACTTCAATGTTCCTTACTTTCATAATCGTGATATCGACCATAGGGTCGAGTATGTTCACCAGGTAGCTGTGTCCGTCCGTCCAGAAAGGAGCGCCGACGAAATCCAGCACTTACAAACAAAAAGAGAAGGGAGGAGGCACGGCACCCAGACCTCCCCTGCTCCTTTCCCCCCCCCCCCGG